TTGAAGACCCCCAGGGTAGGAGCCAGCACCACTTCCCTTGGAAGTTGGTTCCAGCTCCTAGCCACCCTGACTGTGAAGTAGTGCCTCCTGATGTCTAGCCTGAATCTACTCTCCATCAACTTATGGCCGTTATTCCTTGTTACTCCCGATAGTGCTCGGGGGAACAGGGATTCTCCCATTGCCTGCTGGTCCCCCTTGGCCAGTTTATAGACGGCCACCAGATCCCCTCTCAGCCTTCTCTTGTGGAGGCTGAACAGGTTCAGGTCCCGTCGCCTCTCCTCGTAGGGCCTGCCCTGCTGCCCCCCGACCATGCGGGTGGCCTCCTCTGGACCCTCTCCATGCTGGCCACATCCCTCCTGAAGTGCGGCGCCCAGAACTGGACGCAGTACTCCACCTGCGGCCTGAACAGTCGCATAGAGGGGGAGGATCACCTCCCTGGACCTGCTCGAGATGCATCTGTGGATGCACGACAAGGTGCGGTTGGCCTTCCTGACCGCGTCCCCACACTGTCAGCCCATGTTCATCTTGGAGTCTATAATGACTCCAAGACCCTTTTCTGCCTCTGCGCTGACGAGAAGGGAGTTCCCCACCTGTAGGTCTGCTGCTGGCTCTTCCTCCCCAGGTGCAGCACCTTGCACTTGTCAGTGTTGAAACCCATCCTGTTCTCATCCACCCACCCCTGTAACCTGTCCAGATCCAATTGCAGCCTGTCCCTCTCCTTCAGCGTGCCCACTTCCCCCCACATCTTCGTCTCATCCGTGAATTTGAACAAGGTGCTTTTCACCCCCTCGTCCAAGTCGCTGATGAAGATGTTGAACAGTGCAGGCCCGTGGACCGAGCCCTGTGGGACCCCCACTGCCCACATCCCTCCAGGTCGAAAATGACCCGTCCACCAGCACTCTCTGGGTGTGGCCCTCCAGCCAATTGGCAACCCATCTGACTGTGTAGGCATCAATTCCACAATCTCCTAATTTTTTAACAAGAATGGGGTGAGAGACAGTGTTGAAGGCCTAAAGTCCAGAAAGACTATGTCCACCATTTGGTTTACACTGCCATAACTAAGGGGGTTGGGTTTTTCTGACTCTACCACCATTTCTCAAAATGGTTAGAGCAGTGGAGACTCTGGGGATTTGAAATGAAAAGTAAATTTCTTTCATCCTACCTAAGAGTTAAATCTTAGTGTGCTAATATCTGCCCTTAGAATAGTTGACACGGCACATTTAAGGATGGTTTTCGTGGTCATTGCCTAAGTCTGTGTCAAAAACCTCTGTTCCATCGCAGTTGGAAAAAAAAATAGCTATGCTGTATTAGGTATGAAATTCAGAACCGTTCTGTACTATTTCAGACTTCTCCCATTCAGCATCCTGGTGAGCGGCTGAAATCCTATTCAGCTGGTAACACAAAAAAGGAAAGTTTACATGGTCAGATCATGGTTTGTCCATGGTTTTGAGGGCTAGAAATTCCTGAAAAGTACTTATGCACTGGATTTTTATGTGTCTTTCCAACAGCCAAAAATATACCACATAATGTTTCAAACGTACAGCAACCCAGAGGACACTTGGAGTGGGAGGGGGGAGCATGGCAGAGAAAAAGCTGATGTGCACTTGTACAAATGCACCAAAGAGCCAACAGAAGCAGACCTAACTGATTTTCATCCATACTGTCTTCCAAATGATATAAATGGGCATTAAAAGTGTCCTAAAGGAGCATCTTAATGTTGCCTTGGCATTAGAGTGCAAGAAATTCCCAGCAGCCAGTTCAGACCACTTAGAATAGAGAATAATCCATTCCTTGTGCTCTCCACCTGTGTAAACATCCTAGGCCAGATCCAGAGAGGCGCTGTGGGCACTCCCAACTTAGATGTCACAATATTTCAAGCATAGGCGTCTGACATGTGATTCAAGAAAACAGGGTTATATATGCAGCCCATGGTTCCCTATATATAGTCCATGAGGAGAGTTAGGTGCCTCTGCAGGGCAATCCAGAGGGCCCAGATGCTGAACAGGGGTCTGCCTAGAGTCGAGGTAGCCCGTTGGAAACCCTAAGCACGGGAGTGTGTCTGAACTCCAACCCCTTTTTGGAGCTGAAGCACCCCCGTTCCTGGAGATCCAGTGCACTGAGTTCTGCTGCGAAGGTAGGGGACTGCAATGGCAGTGGTGACTCCAGCACCCACCTTTTGCTTAATAAGCTAGGGCTAGAGCGCTTACCCAGGAAGTGGCAGACCTGGTTGTTAGGCTTTCCTTAGCCTGGCGGGGATTCAAACTCCCATCTCCCACTGGCCAAGAGAGTGCATCAGGCAGGGGGATGGTTTGCATGGTGGGGGCACGCTCATGCTGCAGACCCTGGGCCACTAGCCCCCAAGAAGCATGGGGCCAGGAGAAGAGGAGATCTGGCTCTGTAATCTACTGCTTAAAGCCCTTGGTTGGGAGCTCTGTGTCCTCTGAGTCAGGCTACCGATCAATCCTGGGGTGTGTGTGCACATCTCAAGAGCAACCGGGAGGAGGAGAGGGGGAATCATTTCACAATTTAAGGATAGATACCAAGAGAAGACTGCACATTTAATCAAATACTTCTGTTTTGCTGAAATGGGCAAAACGTGGTGCTGACCCCATCCCTTTATGCGGACGCATTATCGTCCTCTTCAGAGAAACCTGCTGTGTTGGGAATGGGGGTAGGGTGTTGTGATCTATAGCAATATTCACCTTTACCCCACACCAACCTCTCGTGTCGCCCAGCTCCCTCCTCCACGTTTTTTTATTTCATAATTTTTTTTTGGCCTTCTTGACTATTTCTTGTTTATTTAATCAGTCATGCTGAATTGGGAAACAGCTTGCAAAAAAAAAAAAAAAAATCCTTCCAGGCAAGGTTAGTTGAGTAAAAGCAATCTCTTTTCTTAAACCAACCGAATCACTGGAAATATTGCTCTTTGCAAGTTTCCGTGCACAGGCGCCCTTCCTCGGGCATAGGGACAGTCTGCCGGTCGTCATCTTCTCGCTAGGGTCCGAAGCTTAAGCCGATTTGCAAAAGGCGGGTCTGTGAAAATCCAAATTCCTCCGCTCAATTAGTCCCTAAACTTCCCGGATCAAATCCAAATTGAAAGCCTGGGCCCAGTCAGCGAGCCAGTTTAGGAGTGGGGAAAAGGGCACAATCCTGACTCCAGCACCGCTCCGGGAAGAGCGCAGACCACCGGCAGACGCTTCCTCAGCCTGACGAAGGGTCCCTGTGCCCCAAAACTGGCAACGAAAACTTTTTCCAACTATTTGAGTGGCTCTAATACAAGATACCGGATTGACCCAAAGAACCTTGTCTGCCATTGGTGGATCATTTGGTGTCTAATTTTGATCATTTGATCTCTAATTTTGGTAATTAGATCATAAGAATCTGGTATCTAGGATACCAAAACATGATCTGATAATAATAGTAATTTGGTATCTAATTTTGAAAAGTGTGCGCGGCGGGGGGTGCATCCCATATAAAAACAACATATTTTTCTCTGGTTAAAAATAAACTTGGAAGCTTTACTAACAGGAAAGGGCTTAGGACTGGACGATTCGGTTTAAGATGGAAGCAAAAACGACTAGAAATCCATTGAAATGCGTTAAAAACAATCTGCGGGGCTGCGAACGAGGAGCTTCGTGACCAGGAGCAGCTTGTGATATAAAAACAACGTATTTTTCTCTGGTTAAAAATAAACTAGAAGCTTTACCAATACGCTGGGGGTTTAGGACTGGATGATTTGGTTTAAGATGGAAGCAAAAACGACTAAAAATCCACTGGAACGAGTTAAAAACAACCTGTGGCACTGCGAAAAAGGAGCCTCAATAACAGGAGCGGCTGGCGGCAAAGGCGAGCTCGACCGGTGGCACGCCAGACCCATTTAATGGGAGACGGCGTTCACCCCTGTGGAGCGAGGAGTTTAGCAGGGACCGGGCAGGCAATTGCGAGGCAGGAGGTGGATCCACCCCCTCAGCGCTGCCCGACTAGAAGTGCGCCCGCCGTAGCCCGGTGGCCATTGAAAATTTGGGTGAAGCAGGAATCAAAGCGGGGACCACACACACCTGCCAGCGTGCGTTGTATCCCTGCAGGCCCCAAAACACGTTTCATTTTAAACTCCCAATCCCTGAGGGAAATCGCGTTTTATTGTAAATTCGCAATTCCTGAGGTAAATCGTGTATTTTAAACTCCCAATCCCCGAGGTAAATCGGATATTTCATTTTAAACTCCCAATCCCTGAGGGAAATCGTGCGACCTTTTCGTTTGCCTCAAAAAGTGGAGAAAAAGCAACATTGGCGTCGCGGCAGGTGGGGCGAAAGGCCTGCAGCCCGGCCCCGGGCATGCCCTGAAGGTGGTCAACACACGAAGAGGGCTGCCACGTGTTATTTTTTACACAGCCGCGCCGCG